CTCTTGTCAGCATCTTTTAGAAAGCACTGTATCCGTTTTAGCTCGGTTTGCATCTGTTGGACCTGATCCCGTACACTCCATAACAGTGTGGTTTCCTCAATCAGGAGGTTACCCAACCTCTCCACAAGAAAGGACACCACAGCATCAGCCATGAAATATGCCTTTGCTTCTTAAATGTAGACAGACAGGTACAATCTAACAAAACAGCGAAAACCCTCTTATTTTCTGAACAATTAATAAGGAAGCATTCAAAATTTCACAAAAATAACAAAAACTCCATGAATTTCACAAAGCCCAAGGAGAAATGTAAGTTATCAATTACCTATCTTTCACCAAGCAAACTGCACTTGAGTCCCTCCACCTTCAGGTTTTATTATATTTCCTCCAATATCAATGCCATTAGTTTTTACTTGGACTGCAAGGGCATCTTCTAAGAAGCTGGCAAACATTGACATAAAAGTAGTAGTAGGTGGAAAAGAAGGATTGGGATGACCCACACGGATTCCCATGTAGTATGTGTATTGAAAATTGCTTTCATACCAAATAGTAAGAGAGAAGAAAGACGGAAGCCTCCAAGAAACTTCCATTTCCTTGACTTTTCAACAAGAAAACAACCAGCAGGGACCTACGTACTTGGAAATTACCTGTATGTTTCATGTAAGTGGAAGACAAAAGTTTGTGATTTCAGACAAAGTAACTTTGAAATAAAAGGAAATTAAGACCGACATAACACAAATGCGATGCAGATTTGCCCTCCATCCCTGCTACATTTATTAGAAAGAAACCCACAACTCAATGTCTCTTCAAAATTTCTTCAAATTTCTCAAGAAAACATCAGTTGAAGAAAGGGAAAGAAAACCTTCAGCACTTTCAGAGGGACTATGTCGTCAATTTTCACTAGCTGAGCTCAAAGCTGCCACCAACAATTTTCATGATGGTTTGAGAATCAGTGGAGGTCGTTTTGGCCCAGTATACAAGGGCCTCATTGATGGCGGCTCCTTGGTTGTCGCTGTCAAACGCTTGAGTAGATCATTCCTACAAGGAAGTGAACGGTTCCGAAATGAGGTAGAGTTACTCTGCCAGCTGCGCCACCAGAATCTTGTCTCTCTCCTCGGGTTTTGTCACGAGAAGGATGAGGGCATCCTTGTGTATGAATCTATGACCCGTGGGTCATTGGATCGTCATCTTTTTGGGAATGCTGATCCACTCCCTTGGAAGCGGAGACTAGAGATATGTATTGGGGCAGCGCGTGGATTACACTACCTTCACACAGGTGCAAAGTATGCAATAATTCACCGCCATGTCAAGCCTGATAATATTCTTTTGGGCGAAAATTGGGATGCTAAGCTTTCAGATTTTGAATTGTCCGTAATTGGTCCCTCTAGCATGTCAAAGCCTAAGCCCAACGCTTTGACAAAAGAGACGTTAGCCGCAGGTACCTTGGGCTATCTCGCTCCAGAGTGTTTTGATCATAAACTCAGCGAAAAAGCTGACGTGTACTCGCTAGGTATTGTTCTGTTGGAAGTATTGTGTGGTAGAAGGGTGGTTGACCACAACGCAGAACCCGAGGATTTCCATTTGGTTTCCCGGATCATTAAATGCATCAAAAACGGCTGTGTTCATGAAATGATCGATCCATTTCTGAAAGGGAAGATAGCACCGGTGTGTTTGATAGAATACGTGGAGATCGCTCTTAATTGTGTATGTCTAAATCCAAATGAACGGCCTTCAGTGGGGGAAGTTGAGGTAACCTTAGAACTTGCATTGGAGCTGCAGGAGAAAACCGACTTGGTTATCAAGGCTGACAATCCACATGCTGTCTATGCCTACGAAGATCTATCATTTCGTGTTTCTGTTGAAGAAAACAGCTACTGGCAAGGCTACCGTTACAGTGGAGATTCAGATACAGGATCGGTCTCGACTGCAGAATTGGTCTCGGATGCAGAATCGGTCTCCCATGGAGGAGCGGTCTCAATTGCCGAATCAAAATTCAAAATTAAATGGTGTTATCAAATCCTCAATACTCTGCCTTGCTGTTAATTTACTTATTTTGTGTGTAATATTGTAAACCGCATTCAAAAGTCTCAAACTTCAATTTTACAGGGTTTAGGGCTAGTTTATCAAAAAATTTAGATTTTATTTGTCATGACAAAAGGTTTTTCATATTCTTTATTTGATTTTTCATATTTTTATGTATTTTTTAATTGTTTCGTAATTTTATTTGATATTAAGTGTGGTTAGTTAGTTAATATGTTTTTGTAGTTAATATGTTTCGAACTTTTTTCAACTGATATAAGGTTCAAACATCTTGTAATTAATATGCTTTTGTAATTAAATTATGTGAAAAAAAAATTTTAAATAATATTAATGTATCGTGTATTAATTAAATTAATTAATTATTAAAATTAAAATTAAATTTTATTTGTTTATATAATTTAATAATTACTTTGTTTGGCTTTTTTAATTATTTTAATCTTTCAACTTTATGTAAATTAATTTAAGAATTTTATATATTAAATGCATGATAACTGATAAATTTTTTTATTTAAATAAAAATAATTAATAAAAATATGAATATAAATAAAGATAATTATTAATATACCCTTCAATTTAGGTTAAAACCCCTTTTTGGTCCCCGAACTATTGTACGAACTCCCGATTTAATCCTTAAACTAAAAAAATCACTGATTTGATCCCTACTGTTTACCCATTTTACCCCAACTTGATCCTTCCGTGAAAAATTGTCCGTTAACTCATAGACATATAAAAAATTAAAGACACGTCAGTTGTCCACATGGCTAAATGATGACGTGGTCATACACAACACAAAAACAAAAGTGGGACCCACCAAATTACAATTTTGCATCATCTTCTTCCTCCAGCATCTTCTTTCTCGAATCTTCTTTCTCGAATCTTCCTTCATTCAGACAATCAATTCAATATCAAACCCAACAGGTGCCCTTTCTTTTTCCTTCCTCTTCCTTACCTTGCCTTCTTCATCTTAATCAAACAACCAAACCCACAAAAAAAAAAACAAAGAACAAAAATTTTTTTGCCCCTAATTCGAAGGAACCCAGCGCTTGGGTTCGAGAAGGAACCTAGGCACCAGGGTTCGAGAAGAAACCCAGCACCTAGGTTCCTTCGAGAACCCTAGCACTAGGTTCGTTGGAGAACCCAAGAGCACCTATGCCTTCGATTGCTTGCTGGGTTCGAAATCGAACCCAGCACCTATGCCTTCCTCATCTTCATCCACCTGCAAAAACCCAATGGCTGCCTTGCCTTCTTCATCAATGAATTTCTCATATCATCAAACAACAAAACCCAAACAAAGAAAATAGATCATCAAACAACAAAACCCAAACAGATTTCTTTTTTTTTTTTGGAATCAGGGCTGGGTCTTTGGTGGAACCCAGGCATGCTGGGTTCCACCGAACCTAGGTGTGCCGGGTTGCGTCGAACCCAGGCGTGCTGAGTTGCGTCGAACCCAGGCGACGCCTGGGTTGCTTCTAACCCAGGCGGTGCTGGTTGCGTCGAACCCAGGCGGTGCGGGGTTGCGTCGAACCCAGGCCACGCTTGGGTTGCGTCGAACCCAGGCCGTGCCGGGTTGCGTCGAACCCAGGCCACGCCTGGGTTCAAAGGGCAAAGGGAAGGGGAAGGGGAAAGGGAAAAGGAAAGAGAAAGAAAAAGGAAAAAAAAAAATTTTTAATTTTATTTTT